CTTTATGTATCTTTTCGGGGGTAAGGATTCATCAAATCCAACATGAATAAATAGAGCTCGGTTCATTCCTGCATTGGTGCTCTTCTAAGAGTTTTAGTTTGTACAAGGAGAGCCTGGTGGGCTCTTGCTTAATGCTATTTTAAAAGTCTTTATTTGTGAAAGGACAGTCCAGTAGGTTCTTGCTAGGTTTCTTCTACGAGTATCAGTTTATGCATGGAGATCCCAATGAAATCCTGTTTAGTGCTCTTCTAATAGGCTCAACTTATGCAAGGAGAACCCGATGGGTTCCTAATTGGTGCTCTTGTAGTGTTAGTTTGTGTAAGGAGATCCTGGTGGTTTCCTGCTTGGTGTTCTTCTAAGAGTCCTCGTTTGTACAAAAAAAGCTTGATGTGTTTTGCGTATAACTCGAAGGGCCTTGAAGATGTTGCTGATTCTTATGTCTGGTTCATAGTGTTTGTAAGATAAAACTAATTAGCTTGTATCTTCCAATTGGCTACTTGTTTGACATTTAAACTTTTGCGTGATGACTTGTTTTCTTCAAGCACTATAATTCAACAACTCTGAGTATCGTTCTTTAAAAGTATTGCTTTTATTTCACTAAATCCCTCGGTGAAAATAACAGTGTATGTAGGCTAAACTACTTGATAATGATCAAAATATCGCGGGCCTCCATGACATTCTATTTAGTCCACTAAAATTTATAATCAAAATTGTACCTTTTCCAGTAGTGAACTGATCGGTGGTTTTTACACGTGATTTTACCGTTTGTTTCTGTTAATCATTTGTTATATCTTGTCGCATTTTATTTGTTTTTATTGCATTTTACGCGTTGGTTTGGCGTTTTCACTATTTCTAGGTTTAGGTAAACAATAAAAGAAAATCGGAGCAAAAACCGGGGAAAACAACAAGAATTCGGAAACGCTTTGGAGTGGACCAGGAGCCTGACACGGCCCGTGTCAGGATGTGCTCAGAAAAGCCAATTTTGGGGGAAGCCAGAGACCTGACGCGGCCGCCCGTGTCACGTGACACGACCCATGTCAAGACATCTGGGACTTGGAAAAATCACGTGTAAATTATATCAGAAAGCCAACACGGCCGCCTGTGTTGCCTGACACGACCCGTGTTGGTTAAAACGCCTCATTTCCTATTTTTCTTGTATTTTTTACACTTGTGATCCCTGGGGGTATTTTGGGCATTTCCCTGGTACTGAGTTTGAATTGAGACTATTTAATACGTGTTTTGAGAAAAAGAGAGGGGACTTTTGACAGAGAATAATTTCACGAGAAAGATTGAAGCGATTAAGGATTTGGGAAACTGAAGGTCCTCATGAGCGGAAGTGATTGAAGATCAAGGCAACCAATTATCTTGTAATGTTTAATCTTATTGTTGATTTTATCTGTATTATTATGAGTGGCTAAACCCCCCAATGCTATGGGGGGTCCCTGAATTTACTCTGTAATAACCTTATTTGCTTTGAATAATGGATTTCACTGCTTTCTAATCGTTGTTGTTATTGTATAATTTTCTTATGGCTTTTCTTATTTTACAAATAAGGATTTGATTTATAGTTAACCTTAGGTTTGGAAAAATAATTGTTAACGCGTTTATACGATAATACTAAACTAGATATGCCTAGGAATGGGGATACCCTATAGTAACCGTAATGTTTTAGATAAAATATATTGCTTGGGATTGTTCCTATACCACCAAGGAATTGGGGCATAGGAAGAATACCAAAAGGTTTTCTGCTAAGGAATTAGAGTCAGCTAATCTTTAAAACCGGTAACGATTGAATTGAGCAGTGATTTCTGAAAACTAAGGATTAAGGTTATTACAAGGCTTTTCATACACCCTACCCTAACATGCTTCTCATAACTGTTTAAAACCTTTATTTTACTGCTTTTTCCCTCTAGCCGTTATAATTCTAAAGAAACAAACCAAAATCCCTATGATTTTTTGTTCAATTGCATTACTATAAAACTTGTGTTCATACGCAGTCCGCGAGATCGATATTTGAGGAATTTCCTCTTATTACTATATCGGTACAATTAGTACACTTGCTAATTTACCAGTCATGAACACCATGATAAAAGTCTTCTTTGTGAAAATCATCAGCGCATGGAGAAAGGAAGGGATGTGTTACCAAAAGCAAAACCTGTTTTTATGGCTCTATCGAAAGAAAATATGAAATCACTTAGAGATGTTAATGGTTCGTCAACCTGATCTCCAATGTCCTCATTTTCTTCGGCACCAAACATCTGAAAACCCTGTATATAAGCCAAGTCATTTAGTTGTCTTTACACAGTGCTTTTATGCTTTGTGAGGTTTTCTAATGGTTGGCTGTTTGATTATATATTTCTTTCCTTTTCTTCTTTGTTATGAAGGATTATTGTGACTAACCGCCTATCTGGGAGAATCATAATATGGTCAATGTCCGATATGGTTAACAATTGTTTCGTTGTTGGTTGGGCTAGTGTTTACAAAGCGTTTAGTTTTTATGAAATGATGGCCAAAGGTATGGACCAAAAATCCATGAGTAGACCGATTTGCTCTATTTCCTCGTATTAATTGATAAACTCCTCCTTTTTCTTGGGGTCCTCCATCTTCATCTTCTTAATCTTTGTTGTTAGTTTTTGCTAACAACAACATTGTCATCATCATAACTGGTATTAGTGTTTCAAGAATTAAACTTTGAGGTCTAAGAAAGTTTTACCATACCCCACAATAGATATTAAATGTACTCACAAAGAGACATCATTGTTACATTAGTGATGTGAGACTAGTGAATCTCAGTTGTAACCTTACTAGTGAGGGCTAGTAAGCTCTCAGTTATTTAATTTTTTTCTCTACCTCTCTTATTCTTCAAAGATCATCTACTTATATAGTAGTTCGTATATCTCTTGCAATCAAGACTCATTAAATGTAATTAAAGCCCTTGTTGCCTAATTGATCAATGCTAATTAATGGTCATTTGGGTGGTGATCCTCAATGGATTTGGTACACAGTGCTTATTAATTTATCTTAAAAACATTGTTTGTGCATTTAAATCTTATCTTGTTATCCCATTACCTTAGTTTTGAGTCGGACAACTCGACCCGAGCTTCTAATTAATTTAAATTAGTCTTGTTATCATGGGCGGACTCTTGCTAGTATTTGGGAGAGCTCTTATTAGTCTTGGGCCGAGATCTTATTACTTGGACGAGCTCTTGTTAGTCTCGGGCTGATATCATATTACTCAAATAAACTCTTGATACTTGAGCAATATCTTGGTAGTTTGACGATCTCTTGATAGTATTTGGGCGAGCTCTTGTTAGTATTTAAGCGAACTCTTTTTACTGGCAAACTCTTAATAGTTTAGTGAGCTCATGTTAGTATTTGAGCGAACTCTTGTTACTCAGCGAACTATTGCTAGTCTTGGGACGAACATTTATTACTTGAGCGAGATCTTGATACTCAGATGTACTCTAGGTAGTTGGGTGAGCTCTTGCTAGTGTTTGGGCAAGCTCTTGTTAGTTTTGGGCCAACCCCTTATTACTCGGGTGAGCCATTGGTAGTTGTGCAGACTCTTGTTAATATTTGGCAAGTTCTTATTAATCTTGGGTCGAACTGATAATACACAGGTAAGCTCTTGAGACTCTTGGGCAAATTATTATTACTCAGACGAGCTCTTGATACTTAGGCTTATACCCCAATCTACTCCCTTATTTTGTGCTCTTCATCACGCTATTTAAATCCCTTTATTTAAAATAGGATTAAAGATTCATTGGTTCCCAAATATGAGACACATAAGAGTAAAATATTTTAGTCGAAAGTCCATGACACTACAAGATAATAGTAAGAAATTAATATAATGTTGAAAACAATGTATAAAACACAATGGATAATTTTAATAGAAAATTTCACACAAAAGAAAAAGGAAAAGTGCCAGGTTATTTTATGGGCCCATACCACAGTGGTTGGACTAAAACTAATATCTTGACGAATCTTTCTTCCATCACCCAAATTAAATGACACCCTAACATTTTTTATAATGATAAAAATATCCTTGTCAAAATTTAACTAAAAATAGTAAAAAAAAATGTTGGTAGTACAATTTAAAAAATCCGATATATTTTATAATTTTTTGGGTTTTTTTTGAAAAATCCAATAGCAAAATAACCCGAAATCAATACTACCAATTTTTTTTTAAAATTTGATATAATATTGAATTTTTCAAAAAATCCAATGGTGTTTTAAAAATCTAGTAAAAACTCCTAGACTTTTGAAAATTCCAATAAAAACTCATAATTTTTTGAAAAATTCGGAAAAATCTCAGATTTTTTTTAAAATCTGATAAAAATTCAGACTTTAAAAAAAATAAAATAAAAATTCATTTTTTTTTGAAAAATTCGATAGAGTGTTTGATAAATCCGATTAAAACTCATAGTACTTTAAAAAATCTGATAATGTATTTGAAAAATATGATAGTTTAAATCAACTAATTTTGTAAAAAATTCACTTAAAATTCATAAATCCTTCAAAAATTCAATAAAAACTTATTAAATTCTTCAAAAATTCAATTAAAATTAAAAAAAAAATCGAAAATGCAGAACAATACACAAAATTTCAAAAACATAAAAAGGAATTATAAAGGATATTAGTATTATTAAAACATAGGGGTTGTGGGGTGCCAATTAGAACTTACGGGATGGTAGAAATATTATTCAATATCTTGGAGTCTAACAATAAACAGGTTATCAATCAAAGCCATCTCTGTTAAATCAACGGCTGAGATTATTTAATGTTTTATTCTAACAACTTGTTAATATCGCATGCTTTTTCCCAATCCTGAAATCCAGATTCGTAAAAACGTTCAGCTTCTTCATCACTCTGCATTAACCCCCGCCAAAATGAAATCCAATTTCAGTTCCCTCCATTTCCACAAAATTTAATTTACATCCACATTATACTTTACAATAAACAAAAATTAAAATAAAAATCCTCTACACATTCTCATTTCCATGGCGGAATTTGAACCTCCCTCATTCTCTCTAGGTCTCGATCTCGACGACACTCCCCCACCTTCTCCTCCTCCTCCCTCCCCCATCCCCGACCCGCTCCTTCAAGTCCCCGACTCCGATCCGGAAACCCGATCCGATCCACCTCCTCGTACACTAAAACGCCTCCGTCGAGGCCCCCCTTCCTCCTCCGTCCACCACATACCGCAACCGCAACCTTCATACTTCGACGCCGACGATGATATCGAGGAGTTCTCTTCACCAGAAAAGCCCGTTCAAGGTCAATTTCTTTATTCTTATTAATGAGTTTGTTAGAGTTTAGTAGAATTAGAACTATAACTGAATATCATAGAAATATTATTTCTGCTAAAAATTAGGAGTAGTAGGTTGAATTACAAGGTTAATTTGATTCTGAGGCTTGCTCGTTTTGTGAAATTAGGATGTCGCAGTTCGGTTCAGAATCAGAATCGATCTATATGTAGCAGCTCAAAAGTTTCATTGAGAAGTGCTGGAGTTTTAACTCATTCATTTACCAACTCTTGTGAGAAGAATAAAAGAAAACATGCTTCTAGTCCTCTTCGCAGGTTTCAATTGCTTGATTCTGAAGATGATGATGATGATTCTGATGATGATATGTTTGGTGAAGATATTGGCGGTGTTAGTAAAGTTGGCCTCTCAGTGGGGCAATTGGGTAACCGAAGCGCGCCTTTCACTTCTTTAGAACAAGATGGAAAGACGCAATTTGATGTGAACCAAAGGCGGGATTTATGGAAAGATCCTTCTCCGGTGAAGAATTTTTCTGTTCCTACACCTGCGTTCAATGAGATGTATGAAGAGTACTTTAGTTCTGCCAAGAATGCGGAAGTGCCAAGATCAGGGATTGGTATATCTGAAAATCATTATGAGATGTATCATGGTGTTGATTCTGGTTTGCAGCAGGATGAACAGATATGGGAGGCAGCAGGTCCACTTCCTCCTGCTCATCATTATTTTTTCCATGATGATCAAAGAATTCAACATTTGGTTCGGAGTCGTCTGTGTAATTTTTCTCCGTTAGGTGTCAACGGAGTGAATCAGCAACAAAATGTCTCCCACATTGATTACATGTAAGATGTAATCTAGTGATATATTCTTTCCTTGACCAGTTTTATCCTTTGATAACAGGTAAGGTCTCTAATCGACTTATGTTTTTTCTGTTCTGATTTTAGAGGACAATTTGACAATAGAGGAGCTTCTAAAACGCCAGAAGTTCAGAAAGGACGTGTTAATGGCTCAACAAGCAGAAGAAGCAAATCTACAAATTTGAATGTTCAAGAAACCTTTAATGCTTCTGAAGGTTGGGTGGATCCCAAAATCAGTTCTCCTCTCGGCAGTGGAACATCTAGTAGAAAGAAAGTAACAAAGAGAAACAACACTAAGAGCAGTGTGTCAAAAAGAAAAAGTGCACAAAGCATATTAAACCCTTCAAATGTTTCGGGAAGTTGGGTGGAACCCAAGAGCAGGAGTATGCCGAAAGATGCAGGGAAAAGACGTGTCCAAGCAAGTGGTCAATCTGCTAGTCAATCTACTGGTCATTGGTTTACAGGACCTGATGGAAGAAAGGTATGTGAAAATTTCTGAAGAATATTAAATGTTATTAGCTGGTTGGATTTATTTGCTCTTATAGTTAGATGCTGATCATAAAAAGTTGAAAACATGTGTTATATTGTTGACAAATTTCAGAAACCACTCGGGTAGTATATTATACAAGTATTTTACTGATACAGATGAAGTTTAAATTAGAGCACCTTTTTGTATTGCCAATTTTTCCTTCGAGGAATTATTGTTGCATAATTTGATCTCCAAGTTTGCATCTCTCTAATGCGGCTCTTTATACTTATTTCTATTGTCAAAATGAACATCACTTGCCATCAAGATGAATAGTTAAGGTGCTATATCTGATGTCAGTCATAGTACGTACATCTGTCATATTCTCAAATTATTATTCATTATAAGACATCATTTTATTCCATATTGTTCTGGACATTGCAACAACTTAAACGAAGAAAATATCAGTGTTTTACATCTCATGGTAGAAATCAAGGATTTAAAGCTGTTTTTGGTATGCCTGAATGTGATTTTGTTTTTACAGTGAACTTTTTTCATAACCAAAATGCAAAGTAAATGGTTTTTAACAGATTCATATAATGGAAATTTATTTCCCAAATCCTTTTATCTTCTAGCAATTAACATTAAATATTAATATTGCAAATAGCTTCAGGCATATGCTCCCCTTGTAGTCATTCTTGTAATTCTCCTTATGATTGACTTGAATCTTCTGTTAGTTGGCAAAAACACATTTTGCATATTGTATCAATTGATCAGAACCCAAATCTTTATCTTCACATTGTAGGTTTATGTCAGCAAAAATGGACAAGAGATGACTGGCCGAAGTGCTTACATACATTATCGGAAGGTACATTCACATGCAAAATTACTTTGATGTTGTATGATCTATTTGGATGGGTTATAGTTGGTACTGAACTCCTTCTATGCTTACAGGAGAATGGAACAGGATTCAAGAAATCGAAAAAGAAAACAAGTACCAAGAAGGCAAATGCCAAGAAGAAAAACTAAACATTTGATGCAGCAGATTGTTCCCTGCCAGGCGCACATTAAATTCATTTTTCACAGAATTGTAAATTACTTGTTGATCTTATTGCTAGTATTACTTAGAAGGTTTGTTGTGTTCAATTGCCATAAACTTCTGGAGTTGTTCTGGATGGGCAAGGAAGTACATGTTTGGGGCTTTTGTTGCTTATCCAGATGGTTCTGTAACATGCATCAAGATTTAAGGTCATGAAACTGTAACTTTTAGATATTGATTCACTTTTTAATTTCACCCACTTAGCCTTGATTCACCACATGGTTACTTAGTGCTATCCCAATTTGTAAATGATACAATGGTACAAAAAGGAAAAAATGGTTGAAGTTAGTGAAGACATTGAGAAGACCCTTCTTTCTATCTCGCATTTTGAAGTATTCTAGCTTTATGAATGTTTACTTTTAATGAGGTGTGTATATAGTATGATTCAAATGAAATCTGGTCTACAATAGATGAAAGCTATTTATGGGCATTTAAGTTTTTACATTTTAACTAATTTTAAAAAGTATATTCATATTTATCCTTAAGAGATGAATGCGTCTTCTCGGTTTACAATATTGAGTTAATATTGCTAGAAGATAAGTTAAGACTTTATTGTTGGAGCGTCAAATTTCTCAGTCTAAAATTTTGATTTGATTCCAGCTTATGTTGCCCATCTAATTCTTTTTGATTTTACACATGGTTCCTTTTTAGATTTTGATTGGATTCTAACTTATGTTGCTCATCGAATTCTTTTTGATTTTACACCTGGTTCCTATTTTTGATTTTTCATCCAAAAAATGTTCTCTTTTAACTTTGAAAATTAAATGTTCACACAAAACATACATTATATTTTAGTCGATGTCAATATTCCTTAATTGGCCCACTCATGACCATGTGAGGAGCAAATAAGAGCTCAATTAAGGTTCACTGAGCCAAGGCACGCATTCGGCCCGTAGTGAGCCAAGGCATGAGTTCGACATGCGGTTGAACTTGTCACATCTTAAGTGAGTAAAGTTGCCAGATTTTGAGATAAGGGAGTTATACACCATGCACTTGATAAAACAGGGCCATACTAATCATGATCGAGGAAATAATTTCAAGATTTTGAACATATCGCTAGGGTCACAAAAGACTATATTTATCTCAAGGGCTATAGGCTAAATGATCACATTCTTTACAAATCATCTATATACAACCTCTTGCTTGGCCTATATATGGTCTATATTATTGTACTCAAAGTAAGTACAATTGATGTACACCATTGAACACTAGTGAAACATTTCTTGGCCCCTTCTTTTAAAGAGTTTTGTGGACCTAACTATCATTTCATAACGATGACCACACACGTTACATCTAGTTTTTGGCGATCATGAAACCGTAGCGAAGATGCAAGCCGTTATGGATGAACTGTGTCGCCAAAACCAAAACCCACAGGCAAGTGTCCAAACCATCCAACAACAATATCATGACATACTCTTAGAGGGAATAGAGGTCGAGGACCCCTAACCCCTCTTTGCCAATATCTAGGATGCTCTTGTTTTAAACAATTTCAAACCACCCCTTATGGTCATGATAAATGGGTAAAGTGGTTCGTAAGAGCACGTTATTACATTTAACTACATATGATGATCATAGGCATGCATGACTCATTCAAATGCTAAGATTCTATGTAGCCATATATTAAGATTTATCTCGAAAGTTAATCTATCAGTTCTCGACTAACAAACACTCAAAGTCCTTATGAGAGTACTTATTACGTTTGAGGAAAACCACCATCTAATCAAAAGATGTATGTATGTGCCTTCTAAAATGAGTTGACATTCGTACATTTCAACGAATCTCGCATAGAAACCTACAAACTCAATGGAGGAGATAATGTAAAGGACAAGAAAAGCAACATAGAGAAAAGAGCCATAAACACAAAGGAAAATAGTAGTTACGAATCAGACTCCTCTAGTAAACGTAAAAATAATTATCCATAACCAATAAGAGTCCGGGAAACCTTTAAACCTCTCAAAAACGCTCGTGGAAAACCACACACTATTAAATATTAGGCAAGAATAAGTGTGGCGAGAAGTGTTTCACACCAAAGCCATTATTGAACCCCTAACTCCTAAATAGGAGGTTATGGAAAATAAATCCAACAAATGATGCAAATACCACAAGGTTAATGGCCACCACACTAATGAATCCCACCAATTGAATAAGGAAATAAAAAAACCGTTTCAAGAAAAGCATCTAGAAGATACGTTAAAGGCACATCATTCAGTTACAGAGTGAGAGCTCAACCATCTGGATGCGATAAACCTCAAACCTAAGAGGGATAAAGAACTAGAAGAAATACATGAAAGAGGACATTTTCGTCACGCCACCAACACTCTTCTTCGTACAAAAGACATGACCGCCAGGTAATGCACGTCGTGGGTTCACCCTTGAAACCTCACCTAGATAGCGAGAGGATGGGATCGTGAAATGAGATCAATACGTGCCAATAAAATGTTATCAAGATTGACAATCCACCACCCAAACCAAGTGCCTACAATGTTAACTTTGTGGACTGGGACCCAAGGGAATAGTACTTGGAAGATAGATTGCTCCATACTAAATATCTTAATGAGGTTTAGACTGGACCCCAACATTTTTAGACTACAAAATTGGGAAACTCCTTAATGAATGAAAGAAAGGAAGAGTTTATCCTTTTGCTCCAAAAAAATATGGATTTATTCTCCCAGAGTTCTTATGATATGTCGAGAATAAACATACATATCATCAGTAACCGCCTTGCCCTAAATGCCTCCATCAAACCAGTCATAATGAAGAAAAGAAAAAAATGGGTGAGGATATGAGAATAGTCCTTGACAAGGAAGTGAAAAAGATAAACGAGGCGAGGCTTATAAATGTGATTAAGTATCCCACATGGCTTGCCAACTTCGTGACAGTGAAAAGGTCTCAGTAAATGGAGGATATGGGTAAACTTCATCGATCTCAATATGGCGTGTCCAAATGATCCATCTCCCCTATCCGATATATACATGTTGATTACAAAGCTCCAGGGCACAAAATACTCGGTTTCAGGGACACATATACTCATGCACAATCAAATCAAGATGAACCCATGGAAGTGCACAAGACTGTCTTCACGACCAAGACTTGTAATTATTATGAGGTGATGCCCTTTGGTTTCAAGAACTTCGACTCCACCTATAGAGACTGATGGGCATGGTGTTTGTAGAGAAGATAGAGAAAAACTTAAAGGTATACATAGAGGACATTTTGGTAAATATACCATATGAGAGAAAACTCTATAAGGATTTGGAAGAAAATTTAAGATTTGTTAAGAGGTTGTTCGAATCGTAGTTACAAGGGAGTTTTTGTTATCGTCTCCACAAAGATTGTCCTATATTTTGATGCTTGCCTTTCAATAGTTTACAGTTCTAAGAAAAATAGTTTCAAATTTTGGTTCATAAATTGTCACGATATTTAATAGCAAAGCTGGTCAATTCTAAAGTGTTTGATTAACAAAATATATCAAAAGCAGTTTTATCTACCCTAACTTATACATATTCTTTCAATCTTGTATGTGAAGTTGGATCTGATTAATATCATCGCATATTCTCTCAACACCGTCTATCTCTAGAGTGGCGTCGTGAGAAATACCGTATTCATTGATACACGATCTCTCCATATTACAACCAATATAGTAAGCTTTAAGTTTAATACAAAGCAAATATCAACTATAGACCAATCTCTTAAATCTATAAATTGATAGATGCATATTTTAGGTCAAGTTCCATAAAATCTATGTCTAGAGTTTTACAAAACAAGAATGGATCATTAAGAACAAAAACATTTATCATATATTAATCATCACTTGTTCACATGCAAGAACAATCAAAAGAAATACATAAAGCAAAGGTAGGTCACCTCTACCTTTGATACAAAAGAAATTAGTTACGCATAACCATGGTAGCTTGCTTTACAAGTAAAGAGAGAAGATGAATGAACATCCATGTTGAAGAATCGAACTCGAATGCGAATCCAACTTCTATTTGCAAAATCTCCCTTTTTGGTGAAGAAATGCTGAAAATGTAAGTCTCTATGTGAAAAATGAGTTCTTTTTTTCAAAAAATGTGAAGAGTACTTATATAGTACAACTAGGATCTGCAAAGTTCTCCCAGCGAACCCATTCTTTGCCCAACAAACTCTACTTTATGGCACATGAAGTGTCTCTAGATCAAATTCTTGCAACAAAAGAACCCATATAATAAGCCTTTTCTTAGAATTTGCTTTGGTTAGCAAATACTTAATCGCCGCATGGTCCGTGTAAACAACCACTTTAGACCTAATGAGGTAAGACCAAATTTTTTCCAATGCATACACTATCGCAAGAAGCTCTTTTTTTGTAGTGGCATTATATATTTGAGTTTCGTTCAAAACTTTGTTCGCGTAGTGTATATCATGAAAAAAATTTGTTCTTCGTTGACCAAGTACCGCACCAATGACATAATCATAAGCATCACACATGAGTTCAAAAATCAAATTTCTAATTAGGAGCCATGATTATGGGTGCGGTAGTCAAACTCTCTTTAAAAGAATTAAAATCAAGCATGCAAGAGTCATCAAATTCAAAAGACTTATCTTTGTTAAGAAAATTGCTCAAGGGCTTTGCAATCTTTGCAAAGTCTTTGATGAACCTCCGATAGAATCCCACATGGATGAGAAAGCTTTTAATTCCTTTCACATTCAAGGGTGATGGCAACTTCTCTATAACCTTCACTTTAGCTTGGTCGACTTCAAGGCCCTTTGAAGAAACTTTGTGGCCGGGCACAATTCCTTCTGTAACCATGAAGTTGCACTTCTACCAATTAAGCACAAGATTAGTTTTTGCACACCTTTCTAACACAACATCCAAAATTTTCAAACAAAGATCAAATGACGGCCCAAAAACTGAAAAGTCATCCATGAAAACTTCAATGGATTTTTTAATGAA